CCTCACAACCACCCATTCCCTAGACATAAGAAAGGTTAGATACATGTCTCCATGAATGACAGCTCATCCCTTGCCTAGGCTAGGATTGTTACAGGTTTGAGGCCAACCTGGGCTACACAGCGAGTTCCAGGCTAGCCTGGGCTACAGACTGAGCCCCTGTTTCAAAAACCAAAAACAAACAATAGAAGCCACTTTCAATAGTTGGAAAGCTTCTGCTCAGTCATCCCCACTTCTAGAGATGATATGCCAAAGGCCACTGGAGGCCACCCTCTGCCCCTCTCACCTTGGGGCCGCTACCCGTATACTCAAAGTGCCTGGCCAGGCCCCTGTCTGCTGGGCCATGCATCTCAGTACCTGTGACTCTTCAGACTGCCACTCCAGAGGAAACACTAGGAGCTGCCCAGTGTGCCCAGAAAACCAGAGGTGCAGAACAGCCCCTGGCACATCCTGCCAGGGGCCCACCCTTCCTTGTCTGTCCATAAGCCACATCAGCTTCTAAAAATAAGTCTTCTCTGTGTGGCCAACTGTCCAGGAGGCAGGGTTCACAGCCCCTGAGGCCTCCGGCTCTGCATAGCAACTGGCCCCCTGCCCACAAGGGACTTAGAGACCTTGGCTCAGGCAGTGGTGATTAATCTTGCTACCCTAACATTCAAGGGGCTCACCAGTAAAGGCAAGAGTCGCTGATCTTAACCTTCACACTTCTCACCCCCTGGACCTAGTGACACCATATGGTGACACCGTATCATTACCTCCATTTCAAGATGAGAAGAGCAAAGTGAAACCAAAAGGGGAACCAAGTCATTCACGGGGGTCACAGAGCCTCAGGAGCAGGGGGTGGCACAGGGGCTACCAAAGGGGCTACCACAGGGGCTGTGGGCGGGACTTTGTGTTAGGGCATGTGCTTAGCATCTCCATGGCTCTGAGTTCCTCCCAACACCAAAAGGGGTGGGGGTTCCCTATAATTCCTGGCATAAGGTGACTGTAAAGCTCTGCCCAGGTTGTCCCCAATTCCTCAGTGCGCTTTCATCCTTCCATGTCACTTACCCGGGCCTTCATGCTGTCTGTGCCCTCTGCTGTCTCCAGAGCTTGGGATGGGAAAGGCTGGAAGCTGGTCCTAGGATATGAGGGAAACTGAGGCAAGGGAAAAAAGTACAGATCCAGGTCAAGGCAAATGGCCCAGGAACCAATAGCCTTAAAGTCTCCAAGCTTGCGACAACGTGCCCTGTCCTAAAGGATGTGGGTTCAGAGACCCTGCCAAACCAATCCCCATTGTGCAGATGGGGAAGGACAGGCAGGGAGGAGAGACACTCTCGGCTCAAGGTTACCAATTGGTCAAAGCCAGGCAAAGAAAGCCAGGAGCAGCGATTTCTTTCCTGCCCATCCCATCTCTCGACCGCAGGGCGATGGAGAGGCCTGGGGCGGGCGGGATGAGGAGTTTTCTTTCACCCTGCTAAATTCCATCGTCCCCTCCCCACATTGGGCGCTAACCAGACGGGAAGGCTGAGGCGCGCCGGGAGCTCACGATGCGCTGCTCGGAGCTCCATGTCCAGTGGGCCCGGCCAGAGGGCCTGGAACCGGCCCCGGGTAGGAGGCGGTGCAGCAGCCGCTGCTTCTGCTGGGTGGAAGATCGAGCAGCGCAGCCCGGGGGCATGGGCGGCGCCTGGCGGAGGGGCGGAGGTTTTGCGCGCAGGGGGCGGGGCCTACGCCGGGTGGGGGGCGTGCGTGGCGGCCTCGGCGACTTCGGTACTCGGGGGCCGAGGTCTCGACGTCGGGGGCGAGGCCTGTCTACTTTAGCATCCCACCCTACTTGGTGTGTGCCAAGGGCATGGAAGAAAGAGGGAAAAAAAACCTCAAGGTCTGAGCCACCATGCAAAGACTTGAGGTTCTCCATTTCTGAAATGGTCCGGGAAGTGACAGGCGACAGGAAATGAAGCAAGAGTTTCGAATCAAGCAGCCCTGGGTTTCAGGCTCGTAGGGCTGTCTGCTCAAATGAAGTACAAGATGTGAACTTGAAATTCAGATCGACAGTAATGAAGCATGATTTTGTTTTTGAGACAGTTTCATGTGCTTCAGACAGACCTCGGACTTAACCAGGATCCTGCTACCTCTGCTAGCCGAGCTCGAGAGCTGGGATTAATGGCTTAGGTTGTTTTCCATATACCCGTTTTGTATTGATTATGTCAATGCAGCCTTTACCCGAGTCGTTGTCGACGTCCTCGTCCCCCTGCCCTACCCCCCCACCTCCGTAAGGTGGGAAAAATCACTCACTCTCAGTAAAAAAGGGCAGAGGTGGCTCAGGACACCACCAGAAAATCCTGTATCCCAGAGATGCGCTTTGGCTTGGTTTGTGTGGCATTCCCACTACGCTCTCACCGTCCTCAGAGCCCCTGGGGATGAGAATGGCACCCCTCCATTGTGGCCAACTTCTGAGCTCATAGCCAGCTCTTTCCTATCTTAGGGCCCTGCACTTGTGGCAGAACTCTCTCTGGACATGCTAGTGGGGGCTCCTTGTCACTCAGCTCATTCCTCAGCTCCTCCGGAGCACCGTGGCCAACCACCCTTTCCAATGCGACACCCCAAATTTATTTTATTATTTCAGGCAGGATCTTTCTGTGTAGCTGTCCCAGCTTGCTCTCTGTTGCTGTGACAAACACCACGACCAAAAGCAGCTTGGGAAGGAGAGGGTTTATTTCAACTTAAACATCCCCATCAGAGCCCACCATAAAGGGAAGTCAGGGCAGGAACATGGAGGCAGGAGCTGGAGAGGGGCCTTGGAGGGGTGCTGCTTACTGGCTTCTTCCTTAGGCTCACATTCAACCACCTTTCCTAAGCCACCCAGGACCACCTGCCCAGGGAAGGCACTGCCCACAGCAGTCAAAAACAGAAAGGAAGGAAGAAATGCCCCTGAACACCTGCCTGTAAGCCGATGATGGAGGTGTTTCCTCAAGTGAGGTTCCCTTTTCCCAGATGACCCTACTTTGTGTCAAGTTGATGAAAACTCACAGAGCAGGCAGGTCTGGGACCTGCTCAGCCCCACAAGTGCTGGGATCACAGGTATTAACCCCTGCCCAGCTGTGCACCGTGAAGTCGCTCTGGGAGTCAGTTCCCTCGTTCTCATGCCCGTCTGCCCATTAGACCCATCTCTGTCTGTGATGGCCTCAGTCAGTACCAACACATACAAAACAAGACAGGAGAGCGAACAGTCAGTCCTGGGTCACTGTGGTCTTAGGCCACTTCTCTCACAGCCTCAGGCCCTCTCAAGGTTCCCAGGCAGAAGTAGAGTTGTCACCTTTGTGTGTGGCACAGGGCTCTGAGTTCAAGGTCAGTCTCTTGGGAGCCAGGCCCAGAAGATGCGGCGGCGGATCCCAGTTCCTATTCTGGCAACTGCTACCTTCCTACATCTCTGGTTGGACACCTCTGGGTAGCATCGGAAGCTGAACACTATTTCTCAACTTCCTGCCAACCATGAAGAAATCCCCGCAGCTGTGGCAGCACCAAGTGACCATCCAGGAACACCCAGAACGCGCCCAAGTGTGTATGTTTGGAAAATGACAGCTCTGGAACGTTACACTGAGGCCAGCCTTGTCCATTCTCCCCTCCCCATCCTGTCCAACTAGCCACTTTGTGTGTGTGTGTGTGTGTGTGTGTGTGTGTGTGTGTGTGTGTGTGTGGTTTTTCAAGACAGGGTTTCTCTGTGTAGTTTTCAGTCACGTCTTGGAACTAGCTCTGTAGACCAGGCTGGCCTTGAACTCACAGAGATCTGTCTGCTTCTGCCTCTGCCTCCTGAGTGCTGGGATTAAAGGTGTGTGCCACACCGCCTGGCCCACCAGCCACTTTTCAAGGTCTGGCCATAGCCGATCGGCAGTAGAACAATTATTGAGAGACTTTTCCAGGGTCCTGGCTGGCCAGTCTTGGGGGGCATCTCTCAACCCCCCCTCCACAGCCCCCACAATGCTACTTCTTGCTAAGAGGTTTCCTTTCTCCCAAATTCCAGGTCCTTCACTGTGTCCTTGGCCTGGGAACTAAAAGAGACGTGTCTGACCAGTCTGGTCTCAGTTTAGAAGTTGAGGTCCCTTCCCTCCTGACACCACCTGGGAGGGGATTTGATAATGGTTCCTTTCCCCAGGACTTTGGCCCCAGGCTTCTCCCCAAAGCTGTGTATCCCAGGAAAGAACCTGCTATAGGGCAGCTGCCCAGGCCATGTCGACTGTGTTACTGAGGTCTGTGTATATCTTTCTTACATCAGACCAAGAAGGCACCAGGGGTTAGCACCATGTCCTGGAAACACAGCCAGGCTCTAGAACATCTTGGAAGAAAAGGCCATTGAGCAAAATTTTCTCAGACTGGGGTCAGAGGCCATGCTGGTTTCAAGAGGAAGGAAAGCAGGTGGTTAGGGGTTCTAATGGCTAGCCTAAAACTCTTGGACTAGCACCTGGGCTTCCCCATTTGGCAGGTGACTGAGAGATGATTCAAGATCAACAGTGAACTCTGAGCCTCCCCAGTTCCACTCCCCCCCTCCTGCCACGACCAACTCCAGGACGACCGCTCTGCCTCATCTTAAAACCCATTTGTCTTCCAGAGGGGCACTGTGGAGCCTTAATCAGAGCTGGGAACTGGGATGCCTAGGATCCGGGACTGGTCTTGCACCTTAAAGCCTCTGGACTTGTTCTCCCATTGGGACAAGGGGGGCAGAGCTTCCACTCTCCCCCTTCTACAGAGTGTGAAGCTAGGGCTACAGGAGCTGGGTGGCCAAGACTGTTCCCAGGCCCAAGGCACGGTGCAGGCTGGTTCCAGCATTTATTGCTGTGGTCTTTTCTCACCCCCTTCACCCCGTGAGCCTTCATTTCGCGGCCTGTAAGAAGAGAATATCAACTTTTTTTTAATAGTAAATGAGCTAATGGGGATGGGGGAGGGGGTCCTTCCTCTAAACAGGGCACAGCACCATCATTGAATAGGGCTGAGTAGTTACAGCATTAGTTAGGGGATGCTGCCCTCCTGTGGCTGGTAGAAGTAACTGCAGGCTAGCTCCCTGGGTACCGCTGTAAAATTGTTGCGGGCGCATGCCCATTGTCCAGATGAGAAAGCAGACAGGTGAGAGTCACTCGGTGTGCGTCTCCACCCACTGACACAGGCGACGGGCGTAGCGGGCCGGGCTGACGGTGGAGAAGGACTGGCCTGGATAGCGCATCATCTTCCACAACTGCTCCAGCCGTTTGCGAAGCCCATAGACGGTGGTCAGATCCACCAAGCCCAGAAAATAACGTTGGTCTGGCCCATCCAAGATATGGAGGGGGTTGGGGATGTCTAGCAGCAGCCGGCGGTTCTGGTTCTCCATCATCCTCAAATTTGGTGCACCATGTACGGACCTAGGTGTGGGAATAGGATAAAGCTGTCCCCTCCCAGCCAGTGAGCTACATTAGGAAGCTGAGGAATAGCGTAATTGACAGTCAGACACTGGCCACAAGTGGCTGCTGAGCCCTTGAAATATAGCCAGTGTCATGGGAAATATCAAGTTCCAATATAAACTGAACTTCAGAGTCAGTACTGAGGGCCTGGAGAGGTGGCTCAGCCATCTTGCTGCTCTTGAAGAGGACCAGAGTTCAGTTCCCAGCATACACCAAGAGCCCCTCAAAACTGCCTGTAACTCCTGCTCCAGGGGCTCCAACGCCATCTTCTGGCCTCCGCAGGCAGTGCACTCATGATCACACATGTAATTTAAAAATAAAATCTTTTAAAAGGGCAGTATTGAATAATGCAAATGGTCTCATATACATTTAGGTTGTTGAAATAAAATATTTTTGTTTTATTTTTGAGACAAGGTTTTGCTGTGTAACAGCCCTAGCTGTCCTGAAACTCACTTGAATTTTGGCCTCAAATTCAGAGATTCACCTGGCTCTGCCTCCCAAGTGCTGGGATTAAAGGTGTGCACCACCACACACTGCATAACCAAATATACTGATTCAGTATTATTACTTTTTAAAGGTATGGTTTTTAAATTCTTATTTATTTTTATTTTATGTTCATTAGTGTTTTGCCATGTGTGTCAAGTCCCTTGGAGCTGGAGTTACAGACAGTTGTGAGCTATCATGTGGTTGCTGGGAATTAAACCCAGGTCCTCTGGAAGAGCAGCCAGTGCTTTTAACCACTGAGCCATCTCTCCAGCCCCCTCAATATTATTTTCTAAAGTTTTGGGTTCTCCACCTCCCTTTTTTTCCCCCAAGACAGGGTTCCTCTGTGTAACAGATCTGGCTGTGCTAGAACTCGCTCTGTAGACCAGGCTGGCCTCGAACTCACAGAGATCCATCTGCCTCTGCCTCCCAAGTGCTGGGATTAAAGGCTTGTGCCACCACTGCCGGGTTCCTTAAAAGTATTTTTTAGGAGCAGGTTCCTGCCACCAAACCCCAGGCAAAGCAAGTTCAATTTCTCTACTTTTCCTGCAGGGGACACTATAGGACAGTGGTTCTCAACCTTCCTAATGTTGCGAGCCTTTAATACAGTTCTCGTGTTGTGGTGACCCCAGCCACAAAATGTGGTTGGGCTGTGACTGTGTGGGCCATTGTCACTCTGGATCCTACTCAAACCTCTGCCATAGACGAGGCAGAAATAGAAGGTGCAGGAGAGCAGAGGGCATCCTAATCTTTTATTCCCCTGCATTAGACCAATGGGCTTGGTGTTGTTTGAGACAAGGTCTCACTATATAGCCCTGGCTGACCTTGAACTCAGAGGTCCAGCTGCCTCTATCTCCTGAGTGCTGGGATTAAAGGTCTGCTTTAAAGTATCCATTCAGCAGACTTGGTCTCTTAAACAGCCTTTCTGTTCAACCACAGGGGCTAGCCTTGGAGAATGCTATCAGAACAGGAGCCCATTGATTTCCCTCGCCTGCTCTGAGCTTGGCTGTCACATCTGGAAAGTGAGAAACAACCCATGGTCTCAGTGAGGGTCATGGCCAACATGGACAGAGTGGCAGCTACTTCTACACAGTACACGGTGATGGCAAGGCTCACCTCATTGTACTGTAAATGGTGTAAGCATCCTTTTCATCTTCGCGGAGAAGCTGAAAGGCCACCAGGAGACTGTAATCCAGCACATTCAGGTCCCGCAGGAAGGCGGTGTCCAGCTCCATCTGGCGGAGGAACCAGTTCCGCTGGGGTCCTGTGAGATCACCAGACCCCACCTGAGTCCTCCTCATGCACTTGCCCCAAAGTGTGAATGTCATGGCCATCCCCATCCTTGTACCCCCCCCTCCCCGTTGTGTAAGTCTGGAGCAAGGATCTGAATTTGGATGGAGGAAGAGGAGACAGTGACTACCACGGGACTCACCCAGGTTAATGGTCTTCCCCTCAAAGTTGAGGTCCTTCAGCACCAGGATAAAGGGGCTGCCCTCAGCAACTGGCTCCACCCAGCGGCCCACCTCACAAGCCTTGATGTCATACCTGGGAGGTGGGGTACACACAGAAATCATGGGAAGCAAGGGCTAAGACACCTCCGAACATCAGCACCTCACAGACTGTGTCCCCATGTTAGAGATGGAGACACAGAGTCTCGAGCATCCCTTTAAGTTGGCGGTGTCACAGGGTAAGCAAATAACAGAGCAAGGATTTTGAACTCAGGCCTTTGCAAGTCCAACCCCAGTGTAAGCCCGGCCTTGCCTGTTTCTCGGTATCTTGTCTGCCAGAAGAGGATTCCACCAGTAGGGTGGGTCTGTTCTCCAATTTTAACTACATTTCTTTCTTTATTTTTGGTTTATCTGACACAGGTTTTCTCTGTGTAGCAAACCTGGCTGTTCTGGAGTTTGCTTTGTAGACCAGGCTGCCCTTGAATTTACAGAGATCTGCCTGCCTCTGCCTCCCCGAGTACTGGGATTAAAGGCGTGCACCACCGCCCAGTCATTTCTTATTTCTATGTGTGAGTGCATGGTGCCTGTAGCTGACTTGAAAGAGTTAATGCTTTCCACTGTGTGGGTCCTGGGGATTGAACTCGAGTCCTCAGGCTTGCCTGCAGGTGTTTTACTGTCTGCATCATCTTACCTGTCTTGTTCTCTGATCCTATTAGACTTCCTCAGTTTCTCAACTATAAAATGAAGGTGGCTACTACAGTGTGGTGGCCTGTGATCCCATCACTGGGGAGACAAGGCAAGGGGAGAAAAGAATGGAAACAGCTCGATGCCTTTTTAAGAGAAGTGGGTGGTGGGGATCTGCCTCCCGCCTACTGACCTTGGGAGGATCATATTTGGTGGTCTAACGCAAAAGTACTGGGGCCTCAGTCTGTACCGTCCCCGTGGACTCGGAACCCTGCATCGACTCCGGAAGGACTCACCTCTCAGAGATGCGGCCCACAGGGTAGAAGATACTCTGCATGATGATGAAGTACTTCTGGGGACAGGGGTGGGGAGTGAGGGGAGCCCGGACCGCATCCTCCAGCAGCCCCCACTGTTGAGCTACCTCGCCTCTGCCACACCCACCTTTTTTCCGCGAGCCACCCGCAGACTGTGCACTCCTGAAAGAGGAGAAGGCTCCCGGTGAAGGCCTCTAACTCCGCAATCACGGATCCGTGTGACCGATCGCGCATCTTCCTCAAGACCCACAGCGTCCCTGAGTTTGTCACTCCAGTTCCGCCCCCAGACTCCCTTCTGAATCTGCGTCCCTTCTGAATCAGTGAAATACTCCAATCCCAAATCGGCCACTTTAGATCCGTCCCAGAATCCGCCCCGTCCACAGACCCCGCCTCTTCAGGCACTTTGAGGTTTAGGACCCGCCCCCAGCGGCGTACCCAGCAACCGTGCCAGCAGCGAGTGTGGGTACCGCCGCAGGTGCTGCACGTAGCGGGGCAGGTGAGCAAGCAGCACCTGCACCTCCTGCTGCCTCTGGGTCTTCAGGAAGAAGCGCTGGTCGTGGCTGCGAGTGAGAAAGGGCAGTTACTGTCCAGACTTGACTGGAGCAGCTCCGACCCGATCTCTTTCTTGCCCCTAGTTGGGCACAAGAATGGATGTGTCTGACCACCCTCCCTCGCTTCATTCCACCTTCATCTGGCCCTGACCCTCTGTGCCCCTGGCCTTCCCGCCAGCTTGGAACCGAGCCCCCAACCCGCCCCAACCCTGCTGCAAGCTCACGACAGGAAGAAGCTGGCTTTGCTCTTGGAGGTGCTGAGAAACTGAAGGTAGGGGCCACCGGGGCCCAGAGTAGCCTGGTAGTCCTCTTCGTTCAGGCCCAGAAAGTGCCTCAAACGTGCAAAAGCTGGGCCGGCCAGGGTGCCCATCTCGAAGCCCTGTGGGGGAGAAAGCAGCCCCAAGGGAGACCATCCATGCGGGCTCAGGTGTATGCAAGCAGCTGCCTCTAGTTTGGGAGAGGCAGGACACAGCAAGGTTCTAGGAACAAGCAAGCCATCAGTGGCACTCACTGCTGAGGGGGAAGGAGCCAAGGCAGACTCCTGTTCCTTCTGGGCTCCTTACCTCTTCGTGAACCTGGGTCATGACTTCAGAGAAATCCTTCTGGGTGAGAGGTCCCTGCAGGGGTGAGCAGAGGGATTCAGAGAAAGTCGGGATCCGCCATCGCCCACCCAGAGATTGCAAATACAACACCTGGCCTTATCTGTTACTTTAGCAAACAGGGACTGGATGAGTCTTGTCAGCCTGAGCTGGGCAGTTGGGCCTCACGTTCACCCAGGGCTGGAGGAAGGATGGGCAGGACGTGAGGCACTGCCCCCTGGGTGTGTGCTTTCACCCACCTCTGAGTCTTGAGGACCAGGCTGTGAGTTCAAGCCTGCGATATGCTTTTCCTCATGCTGGCTGTGTGCAGCCAGATTCCATCCCAGCCAGGCCGTCCTGCTAGCTGTGCCTGGGGGAGCCAGACTAGAGAAGTCTGCCTGGGGAAGGTGGCCTCTGGGCCAAAATCTGAAGGGGGATGGATTGGAGAAACAGGGTCCTCAGCACTGGCAGCCAGAGACAGGGTAGGAGGGTTCAGCCGGAAGGGCAATGTGTGTGGATGAATGGACAGCCAGCCCGGTCCCCAGCAGAGGAACCATAGGTGATCTTCTGCAGGTGAAGTCAGGCTGTGCTCTAGGGAATTTCCTCCAGATGTGGTAGTTGGAGGTGCACACGTGTGCACACACAAACAACATACAGGCTTACCCGCCTACTGGGTTGCTGAGCTGGCAGTTAGGTGACCCTTTCTGCTGAGCCAGCGTGGCCCCAGCCTGACAGGCTCCAGGGAGGATGGGCTGGGTTAGCGTGGGTGGAGCTGGGGTCCCTTCTCAATCATACAAGCCCTCCACCCATTATACAGATGGGGATACTGAGGCCCACCTAGAGCACACATCCACCTCTTGAAGCAGGGAGTCCTTCATACCTCCCAGGCTTTCCAGCTTCCCACCCCAGAATTTCTGCTTCCTGACACAAATCCCTGCCTCCCTCTTTTTGTTAGGTCTCTCTGATCCCAGTATCACAGTATCACGATAGCCGGCTGGGTGTCCCTCTTGGAGTACGAGTTGCACGAGATGGACTGGTGATTCACCTTGGGTGGGTTGTCCATGAAGACCTGGGTGGCAGCCCATAGCCCTTCCTGCATCATGCGTGTCATTCTGTGCAGTTCGTGCCCTGGATTGACCTCAAACATGCCGACTCGATTGTGCTTGTCTCGGAGACGCCAAAAGAAGCTATGGTGATTCCGTGGGGAAACTGCCCTGCTTGCAGCCTCCAGGGAGGAGGTCTGATGGGAGGAGGCATGGGAAACAAAGAGCGCATACATGGTGGTGTCCCCGAAGGGAAAACACAGGTTCAAATCTTATCTCCACTGATTGGGAATCTCCCCTTGGTCTCTCTCTGCTTCAGTTTCCCCAGCCATAAAACACAGGGGTGATGCTATGGCCGCCGCTGGTGTTGAGGGGCCATGTAGCACCTGACATGCGATATCCAAATAGGATGAAGACAGAGCATGCCTCCTTTTTAATTCCCATTCTCTTTATTCTATGTGTCTTTTACATCATGTTTCTTGGTCCCATCCCTTCCCCGGTCCTGCATCCGCCCACCTGCAGCATGCCTTCTATTGTCCAGTCCAGTTGAGTCTGACTGGCTCTCAGAGGCTGTCTGGCCTTAGGTTAGTTGGGGTCTTATTTTTTCCTCTGTATCATGTAAGGTCTGTTACATGTTAGCTGCTACTGTTGTGTCTGAGCTGCCTTCAGAGGAAGCCTTGCCAGCAGGTGCTAGGATGCTGGGAGATTCAATGCCTCCGATTCCCTCCTCGGTGCCAGCAAGAAAGGTCAAGTAGGTGCTGAAATCATATCAGTTGTCCCCTTGCTAATGGAGACCCATCATATACTCAGAGCTGAGAGCTTGTGCTCTTAACAGCCTTATGGGAGAGTTTATCATTCCCATTTTTCCTGATGAGGAAACTGAGGAGACCTGGGTGGGGGGCACCCACCTGATTATAGCCCCCTTCATACCTGTGCCCATATGGGGCATGTCCTGGTCTTCCCAGAGCAAAGTCCTACCCTTGCTGAGATGGGGGCGTGTCCACACCTCTGGCCAAGAGGAAGGCGGGACCTGTTCACTCACCCTTCCGTCTTCTGTCCCCTCTCCGGTCCGCACCTACCTCGCAGGCCCCCGGGCTTGGAGTGGCCATCGCCCCTAGCTGCTGCTTCTCTGGCTTAGGCTGTATCCCCGAGACCGCGATGCAGGGATCAGGCCCCACCTCTGCATTGCGACAGGCCAATCGCGAGGATGCTGTCCAGGTCACGTCCAATCCGCGAGGGGGGCGCTGGCCTTTGCCTGCGACTCCCACCTCCGCTGCTGCTGCAGCATCTTTCCTACCCTGGGCCTGGTCGGGTGGGGCCTCAGGACTTTGTTTAGGATGTCGGCGATAGGGGTTTCCTTTTAATTTCCTTCTGTACCGAAGCCGTTGGTTTCTGGTGCTGGCTCTGGAGGCAGGTAGTCTAAACTGTGTTCTTTGGCTATATTTAGGCATGAATTTCCCATTGACTGTCTCTCAGGTGAAGAAACTAAAAACATAAAAAGAAGTGACTATTGCCAGGTCATACATCCTTCCATATAACTTGAAGCACCCACCGGGGGCCAGAGCGGTGCCAGACTCCGTGGCTTTCATGGTGAACTAACAGGAGGTATACAGCTGCTAGCCTCATCTTTTAAAGGCGTGGACAGGATGATGTCATCCTTGTCCGTTAAGCCTCCAATGATCTCCCTTGGCAGTGGAACAGAAGTCAACCTCCTCACCACGGCCCAGGCCACCTGACCTACTCTAGACCTTGTCTCCAAACACCCACTGCCCCGAGCACCAGCTGCGAGCTTCCACCTCGAGGGTTCTTTCCCCCTTTCTGGACTCCCTAGTAGTTCTGTCTGGACTGTTACTTGCCATGATCCTTCTTGCCATCTTGCAGGACTCTATGCACTTCCCCTGCACTCTGGGTCACATGACCTTTATTCTCATCACCCCTGACATGAGCAGAGATTGTCTTGCTCATGTACTGGTTTATTACATCAAAATCCTCCTGAAATGGGAGTGAGTGCCACCAGGGCAGAAGCCACATGGAGCAAATTTCCTGCCTCAGCGCCCAGCACAAACTGGTGCTTGAGAAGTATAGAGTGTAATGATGGGAGCAGGGGATGCAGGGGGCCTTGATGTGTCCCCACAAGTAAGAGACCACAGTGGCTGTAGTGATTAGAGATAGTCCTTGCCATGCAGGGCCTTGGGGCAGTGGGAGGAACAACCCAGAGAACTAGAATTGCAGATGAGAAAGGTGTCCAGACATGCTGGCTTAAATGTGTCTGTGGGTGCAGTGGAATCAAGAACAGAGGTCGTGTCCTCTGGAGCTGGAATTGCAGGCGACTGGAAGTCACAATGTGGGTGCTAGAACTGGACTCTGGTCCCCTGGAGTAGCTGCTAACACATCTCTCTAGCCCGATACGTTTTTTTTTTTTTTTTTTAATTTATTTATTATACATACACTTGCCAGAAGAGGGCACCATGGGCTGGAGAGATGGCTCAGCGGTTAAGAGGATTGCCTGCTCTTCCAAAGGTCCTGAGTTCAATTCCTGGCACCCACATGGTGGCTCACAACCATCTGTAGTAAGATCTTGTGCCCTCTTCTGGCCTGCAGGCATACACTCAAAACAGAATATTGTATACATGATAAATAAATATTTAAAAAAAAAAAGAGGGCACCAGATCTCATTACAAATGGTTGTGAGCCACCATGTGATTGCTGGGAATTGAACTCAGGACATGTAGAAGAGCAGACAGTGAGCCATCTCTCCAGCCCCTGATATGTATTTTTGAGAAGCCAGAGTGGTAGGGGAAGCACAGAGCGGAGACCCTCTCTCCTTTAGGAAAAGAGATGGTGGCTTTGTATTCAAAAGGGGGCTGGAGAGGGCTTGAGAAAAGAGTGAGAACTGATACAATCTGGGGTCATGTATAGAGATGGGGGAAAGAGAGCCAGGGTGAGGGACGCACGCTTGCCTAGCAAGCATGAAGCCCTATGTTCACCCCAGACGTGGTGTCCCAACCTTGGAGTCCCAGCTCTGGACAAATGGAGACAAAAAAAAAAAAAAAAAAAAAGAACGAAAGAAAAAAGACCAGAAGTTCAAAGTCATCCTCAGCTACATATTTTAATGCCAGCCTAGGCTATATAAGACCTTAAAAGGTGTGCTAGGCTCCTCCTCTCGACTCCCCAGCTGTGACTTTTCCCCAGCCAGGACCATATCTATCCCAGTTCCCGCTTTACCTTGTGTCTAGCATAGAGACAGCATGGAGGTAGGACAATGCTGAGGCAATCTGACCCCCTCCAGCCATTCTCCCCAAAGCAAGACGGCAGAGACAAACACCAACATGATTGACATTTATTTGTAAATCTTCCCAAACAGGCCAGCTGGGATCTGGGGTGGCTGCCTGGATGTCCCTGGGTTCTGTGGTCTGTCAGTCTTTCCCTAGGGCTTTCTGGGTCCAGAAGTCCTCATGGAGTCTGGACAGTGTCAGACACAGAGAGCTGCCATGAGAAGGGACAGGGTTTGTCCAGGAGGCGGGGAGGCTGCGCACAACCGTGGAGCACATGACAAGAGGAACACAGACGAGAGCAGGACCCTGTGGGAGGACAGGGAGCTTGGACTGTGAGGTGGACAGGACCAGCCATGTTCAGGCCTGAGCCCAAAGGGAATGAGGGAGAGGTTTCCCAATCAACCTTCCTCTTGGCTTCTGGAAGGACAAGTAAGAGAGGAGAGGGTTCCAGTTTGTCAGAGCTGACTTAGAAGCTGTCCCACCTCCCAAAGAGGGCTGGCTGCAGCACAGCCAGGCTGACTGTCTCGCAGGCTGTGACCTTTGGCCTCTTCCCTGGCGGAGATATGGAGAAGGTTCTGGAAGCCTCATCGCTGGCCCTTCACTGAGCCTTCTTGGTCACTCTCTGGCTCTTCAGCATCACATAGGTGATGAACAATCCTGGAAGACAGAGTGAGAGACTGGGCTGGCCTAAATGAAGACTGGATGGCAGGGCAAGACGACCCACACGCAAGGTCGGGCTTCCAAGCAAACACCCCGTGGGCCAGTCAACCATCGTCAAGTAAATGCAAGGAGCTTTGCTGAGTGCTTCCGATTTCGTGGGGCATGATCTTCCTATCCATCTACTCACACATACGCCCTCCTACCCACCAGCACCCCATCCTACTGTCCCGTCCCCCGAATCACTCTGCACTAGCTCAGCGTCACTCCCATGAGCTTAGAACGCTGTAATGATGAAGACACAGTCCCCAGCCCATGGGAGCAATAAGAGATACAACGGTGGCAGGAGGGTAGGTGGCCCAGGAGTGAGGATGAAGCTGCGACCGCAGGAGGGAGACATGCCCTTATTATCCCAAGAGCCTGTGGTCGTTAAGGAGAATAGGAAAACCCCAGGGAGAGCTGGGGCCAAGGAGCTTCTAGGCAGATGTACAGCAAGTGTCGGGTGAGAGTGGCCAGTCTTCCGCACACCCTGCCCCGGATCAGGAGACCCCTGGAGAGTGGGAGACTTACCCACAAACAGGAGCAGCAGGAGGCCTGTGGCCAGTGGGATGAGGACGGCATAGGCACGGGGCAGGAAGTACTTGTGGATGACATGCTGGCTGTCGATGAATGGCTGGCACCAAGGGCAAGAGCTCTGGTGAGTACTGCTCGCCTTACCCAGCCCGAACAGGAAGCCAGCCCACCTCCTCTGTCCAAGGGGCTGGACCTGTCCTGATGGTATCCTGAGTCTAGCGAAGAATCATGAGGAATCCCCAAGAGGTTCCTCACCTTCTCTCTTCTAGGTGGATATGTATTTTAACAAAGTCTCACCACATTATCTCAGGGAGCCTTCTGAGTGCTGGAAACCAATCTTTTAGTTTTCGGAGGCAAGGTCTCATGACATAGCCCTGGCTGACCTGGACCTTGCTATGTAGTCCACCTCACAGAGACCTCCCTTCCTCTCTCTGCCTTTGCAATGCAGGAACTCTAGGTCTTTTTAAATTATTCTATTTTTTGATTATACATATGTGCACGTGCATGCAGGTGCATCCACGCCCTGGATCTCCAGCCCAGCTAACACTAAAGACTGGTGTGCCAGGTACTTTTGCTGGATCTCCTTTCTTTTTTTTTTGGGGGGGCGGGGGAGGTTTCAAGACAGGGTTTTTCTGTGGCTTTGGAGCCTGTCCTGGAACTAGCTCTTGTAGACCAGGCTGGCCTCGAACTCACAGAGATCCGCCTGCCTCTGCCTCCTGGGATTAAAGGCGTGCGCCACCACTGCTTGGCCTTTTGCTGGATCTCCTGGAAATGGATTATAGATGGTTGTAGCCATGTGAGTGCTGGGACTTGAATCCCAGTTCTCTGGAGGAGCAGCCACTGCTCTTAACCGCTGAGCTATCTATCTCTCCACCCACCTAAATTTTCTTTCTAAAGGATACCTGGTACTGACTGCAAGGTTCCCCTTTTCAAACACAATGCATTTTTTTTTCTTCTTCTTTTTTTTTTTTTTTTGGTTTTTCGAGACAGGTTTCTCTGTAGTTTTGGAGCCTGTCCTGGAACTAGTTCATGTAGACCAGGCTGGTCTCGAATGGCCAGAGATCCGCCTGCCTCTGTCTCCCAAGTGCTGGGATTAAAGGCGTGCGCCACCACCGCCCGGCTCACAATGCACTTTTATGCAATAACTAACAGATTTTTCCAGAGAGAGAGAGAGAGAGAGAGAGAGAGAGAGAGAAAGCCTCAAGGTGTTAATAAAATCTACTGGCGATTGCTACACCCAGGAGGTGCTGGCTAACCGTACAGTGCAGCAGTTGAGAGGCTGGGCCTTACCCTTTTCCCTGGGTCTCAACCTCACCTATAAAATGTAGACACCATCAATAATCATAGTGGAGATTTCGTGAAATCAGGGCAGGCCAAACACCCAGCACAGTGCCTGGCATGCAGATGCTTGAGTCGTGTTAGGAGTCGGCTTATTAAGAGATCCAGGGCAGGATGAAGGTGAGCTGGGGGGCGGGGGGGCACATACCAAAAGAATCACCCAAGTGGTGTAGTAAGTGAAGATGATCAGGCTAACGGCGACGAGGCCAAATCCCACCACTTGATCTGTCCCGGTGGCCTGGAGAAAAAGGAAGGCTCAGCTGGCGAGATGACGCTACGTGGGCGTGCACTAATGGAGGGCCCGCGCAGCCAGTTTACACGCCAGGCTTCTCATTCATTCAACAGCTGTAAACGGGGGCTGACTAGAAGTGGCGCTCCAGTTTAGGAAGCCACGCCGGGCCCCGTGTCACCTGTCCACAAGAGGCCGGGAGAGCGATCCGGGTTCGGAAAGCCAGACCCCCAAATGAGACTCCAGGCCCGACCATTGATATCCCCAAATCACACAGGTACCGCAACCCAGGCTCACCATCTCCCCAGTGTTTCGCCGGAGCAACAGGACACATCCGGTTCCTGGTTGAGAACTTTCCGGCTTGCAAATCGAGATTGGTACTCTGGGAGTTGTAGTCTTTGAACCAGTCCAGGTCAGAGTGCGGGCACGTCCCCCAACCGCTTTGCACGTCGGGAAATGTAGTCTCTGAAGGAAACTGGCTGCTTACTCAGACTTCCTGGTTTTTGTGGCTACAGCACTGTCATAACCTTTCCAACCAATAATCCTCCCTTAAACATCACAGCCCCAAGCCAGAGAGAGATGCATCCCGGGGTTGGAAGTCTTCCCTCACCCCACGTAGGAAAAATGAGGGTCAGCGAAGGTCAGACCATAATCTAAGCCAATGGTGAAGCAGACACCAGAATTTAAAGGTTCTATTTCCCGATCCTGAAATTGTGAAAGAGGTTGAGGTTGTAGAATGATCGCCACTGGCCCAGGGGAGGTGGGGACAGGCAAGCCAGCATGGATGAGAAGGGTTTGCACTGGCTGAGGGAATGATACTCCCTTATGTTGGCTGGTTTCCCACTAGGTTCTGACTGCCACGTTTCTGGACGGCTCTGTGTCCCCACCACCCCCGAGGCAGCAGCTCCCTCTTTGTGCCTCCACAGCCCCAGTGTGGGGTTGTTTGTTTGTTTTTTTGGTTTTTCGAGATAAGGTTTCTCAATGTCCTAGGTGTCCTGGAACTAGCCCTTGTAGACCAGACTGGCCTTGAACTCACAGAGATCCACCAGCCTCTGCCTCCTGAGTGCTGGGATTAAAGGTGTGTGCCACCACCGCCCAGCTTAACCAGTTTCTTTGGTGACTAACACCCCACACCCAGAGTGCCTAAACTGAGAGTCATGGCTAAATTCCCAAGACAGGGTTTCTCTGTGTAGCAGCTCCTTTCCTGGAACTCACTTTGTAGACCAGCTTGGCCTTGAATTTACAAAGATCCACTTGCCTCTGCCTCCCAAGTGCTGGGATTAAAGGTGTGTGCTACCACTGCCTGGCTACCTTCTATGTCCTTTTTGTGCCCACTCCTCATAAATAGAATTGAAAGGCAAAGCAGGACAATGGTGGCTCACACTTTTAATCCCAGCACCAGGAGGCAGAGGCAGGGTGGCTCTCTGAGTTCAAGGACAGCCAAGATACACACTCAGGGGATTTTTGGGTGTGTGGAGATTATGAATGGGGGCAGATTGGCAAACCCTGGCCTCCTAAACTTTCCCCAGCATTTCATCCAGCATATATAAGACATATGGCGAGCTTCTGTTGTTTTGGCCCCCAAGTGAACATGGTAACTAGATAATTAAAACAAACAAACAAAAAAACAGAGTAACAAAAACATCAACATTTAATCTCCTCCAATCAAACACTGACACTAGGCTGATTTCCCCGAATGACATTATGTTCTACTGTAAGCCGAGACACAGATACAAACAGCCCATGGAATGGGGAGCAGCGGTAACATTGTTAGAAAAGGAGGGAGTAAAGCAAAACCAAACATTCCTCCTTCACCTCCCACAGAGGAAGACCGCCTTCTCCTTCCTGCCAGACCTTGCAGTGTGGTCAGTTGTGGGGATAACCAGAAAAGAACCCTAAAAATATTGTAGACCTTTATATCTCCTAGTAGAAATATTAAACTGTCTCTCAAGAAGGCTCCAAACTGGCATTGCATAGACCAATTCCTTTCCAAAAATATCTCTTAATATAGCCTATCTCTGTATATAGAATTTGAAGTCTAGGTGCTTGGGCAGCATGTGGGAATCACCGAGCTCAAGAGAACTCTTCGTCTCTGGCTCCCGCCAATGTTCGTTTGGTTGTGGCCATGTTTTCAGCCCAGTGTCTAGAACAGGAGTAACGTGGCAGAGAGACCCTCTGGTTCAGACCTATGCTGGAGGCGTCCTTCCTGACAGCACTAGCTGCTTTGTTTGGAGCCCTGGAATTCTGGACCAGACATAGACAAGCCCGAGTGGCGGTGCTCTCTCCATCTTCTAGGTCACCTCACCTAGAAACAAGGCTGCCAGCGTCCCTTACAGTGCCAGAAACCCGCTGGGCAGGAAAGGACTCTCTGAGCTGGGCATAACCTTCTTCAGCTATGTTCTGCTCTGCCTCGGCAGTGCCTTCGAACATCCATTTCCAAGAGTCGTCAGGTGTTTAAAACAATGGCAACAGAATCCCTAGAAACGCCCCTGCCCTAACACCAGGAAGGCTCTAAAATCACAGCCCCAACTTTTGCTAACTAAGGAAGACAGAAACTGAGCAAGGGACCTCCCAACCTGGGGAGTCCAGCTATCCCCCATCCACAGAAGGAGTGGCCTGTACCCCGCCCCCACCCCCGTTCCCTGTCCCCAGCCCTGCTGAGATGTAGGTGGAGTGGGGAACAGAGGCACCTACCTCCCCTTGCTGGGGGAGGAGGTAATTCCAAGCTGTGAACTTAGGAGGAAAAGGTTAAGGAAACGCCAGCCTGCTGGGTTCATACAAAATGAGTGAAACTTATAGGGTGGGAATTTATCCAGGGCCGAACTGGCAGCCAGTACCCTCCTCCTTTAAGCAAATACAGAAGACACAGAAAGTGCTGGGGCTGGGGAGGTACCAAGAGGGTGGGTAGTAAGGGGAAGAAGGCCTGAGCAGGGCACAGGACCAGACTCTCCCCAGGGAAAGCATGCCCCTTGCCCAGAGGGCTGAGGCTTGTCTGGCAATAAACCAGTTCCAGTCCGTGCAGTCACAGCCCACCTGGCTGACTGCCTCTTCAGCCTGGAACCCAGCCCAGGCCTGCTGACAGAGAGCAGAGGAAGAGAAGCCTTTGCTTACCCAGCACAGCTGGGCCCCACCCTTCCTTTCCTGCAGGAAGGCCAGCTGCTCAGGACCCAGCCCTAGCAGATGGCACCATGATGCTCAGACCTTTCTAGGCCCTGCTCTTGTGTCTGAACTGGGGATAATTTGAGGGAAGGGGCAGTACCACGTTCCAGCCGGGCGACTGTACCCTAGGTCTGGCTGCACAGCAGACAGCACCCAGGAGTCCTGGATAAGGGCAAGGATCAGTGGCTGTGTCGGGGACAAGCACGTGCAAAGTGCAGGCTGCAGGGCAGCAGCAGAACATTTGACGAGGGAGGTGGGGTTGAGGTCTTGGCTCCCAGGAGAAAGCTGCCAGCAGGTCTCCCCAGGACATAAGGACAGCTGAAGCACTAAGCGGAGGGTCAGAAGTGGCAGGATTCTGGGGAGGGTCCAGCTTCTCAGGGGCAAGGCGAAGGAGCAAGAGCCTTGTTAGACTGGCTGAAGCTGTTGCTCCTGCAGTAAGCAGGTCATAGGGGTGGCAGCCACAAGCACCCCAACATGTAGGAGTGGCTGTGTCCTTTGCTGGGCCCAGATCCTCTCTAGTTTGGGCAGTCCTGGCCAGCTCCATCTTCCCCATTTTCTAGTGGTTCAGAGGACAATATTCACAGTGGCACCCGGGACCAGTGGTTCGGGGTGGACGAAGGACAATGGAATGATGTTTTGGGGCTGGTGTGGCTAGAGTACGAGGAGGCACAGGCGCAATGCAGAGCAGATCCTAAGGGCAGCTTCCGGCTCCTCCAGGAAGACCGCTGACCTGGGTACAATAGACGGCAGGGCCCTTCCTCAGACCTGGTCCCTCAATGGCTTTCGATCACGACAGGCTCATAGACTCCAGAGGAGACTCTGTGGGGGAGATAAAAGTGAGCTTATTCCCTCTGATGCTCCAGTTACTGAGCGCTGCCCTGGGCCAGCCCTGGTACTCCACACGCCACCACGGCTACCAGTGATGACAGGGGGCTGAACTGACGCCCGGAGATGGTCAGCCATTTCCCCGGGGTGACTGAAACAAGTCCACAGCTGTGCCTCATTCCCTCTGGACACCAGCTGTGTACATACACACCTGGACGGACCACCCAGGCAAGGAGAGATTGTTCCCTGGGTCATTTGACAAATGAAGAAACAAGTTTGGAGGGACAATTCTTGGCAAGAAAGCCAGGCAGTGGTAACATGCGCCTTTGATCCCAGCACTTGGGAAGCAGAGGCAGGTGGGTCTCAGAGAGTTCGAGGCCAGCCTGGTCTACAGAGTGAGTTCCAGGACAGGCTCCAAAGCTACAGAGAAACCCTGTCTCAAAACAAAAAAAAAAAAAAAAAAAGGTGTGTGTGTGTAAAATGCTAAGGGAGTGCATCTGCTCTTTTCACCGCTTGGGTCCTGCAGAACCAGGCTTTCCTCCTCCAGTCTCCAAGTCCCGGCTTCTCATTCTGCAAGTGGTCTAAGGTCTAAGGCCTTCAACCCAGGGCAGCCCAGAGGAATGCTGGGAGAGGGTAGTTGTAATTTCTGGTTTCAGCCAGCAGGGGTCAGCAAAGTAACACAAGACACACACTTCACAAAGGTTTTTGGGCTCTGGATCCAGAAGTTCAAAGGACATGTTCTTAGCTCCCTGGAACACAAGGGAAAGCCCTAGGACAGTCCTGTATGCTGGACACTACTCTCACTCACTGGCTCAAAGGCCTGGGGAGCCAGACACACAAAGGACTGTGAGAAGGCACTGTGAAGACACAGTTAGCAAGGACTGAGGACAAGGACAAGATGGGTGCTCAAAGCCAGGTCAGTGGTTCCCATGGCTGCCTTACCACACCTCCCTGTCTCCAGTCCCTACCTGTTGGCCAGCTGAATGCCACTCAACGTGGTGGAGCCATCACGGCTCACGAACAGCCGAAGGTTACTGTCTGTGGGGACACAAGGGAAGACAGAGGCTGAGCGGGCAGGGGTAGCCTCTGGAGGTTATCATCGCCCCCAGATGGCTTCAAGTGGCCAGCTCACCCTCAGTATTGCTGCCATCGGTGAAGTCCTGGCTCTGCATTATCTTCTCCACAATGTCATCCGCATCAATGCGAGTATCGTCCACCCAGGTTGGGTGGCTCTCCACTGAGTCCTTCTTTCGCCTTGAGGGAGAGGGACAGAACTATGACAGGGCAGTGACAGGCGCAGCAACAAGACAAGGATA